GGGGGTGGGTGGGCGGATCTTCCCGTGCGGGTGCCCCTTGGCGCTTTGCACTCGGGATCCCTCTCGGGCCCTTGGACTCTGCTCTTCCCGTCTGCCTCGTGTCTTGGGGGTTGGGTCTCGTTCCTCCACAGTCACTATTAAATATTCCATTGGAGAAATCTTGTATATACACACATGTTCACAACTGCTCACAAACAGGTGCTCTGATCCGGGGGGTTCTGACTGGTCACTGAGTGTGTATATGTGTCTGTGTGTACATACTGACAATATTTATGAATGTAGGCCTGTATGTATGTATATCTTTATATATGTATGGGTATGTGTATATATTTATATATGCCCTCCATGTATTTATCCATTTATTTTTCAGGTGAGCGGACAGATGTTGGGTGTGTGGTCCTGCGTTTTGTTGGTGTATATTTAATACAGTATACTTCTAATCGCTATTTCAATCGTTCTATCTTTCCAATTACTTCTCTCTCTGTTTTTCTCTGTCTCTATTTTCTCTTCACTTAAAAAAAGTCACTGTTGATGAAGAAATAAACTAAAATTTGGTTTCGTTTTCACTTCATCGTGAAGTGACACAAAAAAGGTGGACTGCCCTGTCTGTGTTGAGAGTGAAGTGCTGCCTTAAAGGGAGGAGCTGGAGTATCTCGAAATCTCAAAAGCAGCCATTTTCATAAAAACCTGACATTTCTCTTGAATCAAGTGTCTTTCTATAACATGAAGGGCTATTTTTTTACATGTTGAATTAAAAAAAGTGCATTATTATATTTTAAATTATTGTGCCAGCTGTTTTAAACACTGACTGAATAAACAGAAAATTGTGGATTTCTCACACATTAACCTTGGACATATTTATAAAGTATAACAAAACAGGATATTACTCTATTAGGTTGCTAATTGGGAAAAAAAGGAAAGAACATAATTTGTACAAGACTTACTCGACTATGAACAGAGAGCTGTAAAACTTTCATTTAAACACAGGATAACATTTTAAGCTAAATATTAACTCAAAAACAAACTATAAAAACAAAATATCCCTGGGAGGGGTGAGAATACAAACAAGAGTAGCTCCTGACAACCGAACACAATCGCCGCATTTGTTTGTGTTTCCTTTGATTGGTTCACTGGCCAGGTTAGGAGACACAGATGAGAGTAAATTTACGTGAATCATCTGTAGAGACTGTAACATTTTTTGTATTTTTCACACAAGTTTAAGTCAATAACAAGAAACTACTGGTTTCTGTCATCTTGCTCTTATCCTAAGCATCATACTGCTCAATGGTCCGGTCTCGCTTTTTGTACTTTTTCTATGAGTTTGGTATTATTGTTGTGTTGCAAATAAAAGGAAAATAAGGTTTGCGTGTGTTTAGTATTATGATCCCACCCACATCAAGATGGCTCCTTGCTCAGTGCAAACAGGGCGGAGGTAGTGTAAGGCGAAGCTGACAGCAGCGGCGCCCTCCTTTTGATGGCAGCCAAACGACACTGAAATAATGCTGCGTTCACACCAAACATGTTTTGAGTGTCAGGTGTCTGGTTTACATGCAAAGTCTATGGTGAACGTGCATCAAAGGGCATCGGGAAGTGCTGCGGCACATCTAGAGCGTCTAACGTGTTTTGAAGTGTTCCAAGGAAGTGGAGTGGGACAGTCTGAGCCTTTGCATCTTGACGCAGAGCGTCAGCCAATCAGAGACTCTGTTACGTGACGTAGTGGCACACTTTCCGACGGGACGGTTTCCCGAATGAAGTCACTAACCTGAGACAGATGAACAGGAGCTCTCCAGCTGAAATCAAGTGCCTGTAGTCGGTGTCCTGGCAGGAGATGCCGGCACCGATGCAGGTCTGCGACTCGTCAAACTGGGCTCGGGACAAAAATAGTGCTGAAAGCATACCTTGTCAACTCACAGATCCTTTAGTGGTGAAACTCCCGAAACTCAAAACTCCTCTGAATCATCTGGTAAATTAACCATGAATTAACTACAGGTATCTGGTGATCTCAACATGCTACTTTCTTTATTTCATCCGCCATTAAACAGAAACTGGCAGAGGAAGAAAGCAACCAAGAGGCTCTCGATGCGAGCAGTTTTGACGAGTCTGACCTCAAAGTGCACAAGCATCCAACCTGAGGCATTGGACTCATTTTTAACGCTCAAATTGCGTTCGGTGTGAACGCAGTATTAAGATTTAAACTGTTGTTATCAATTAATCTAATGGAAGGAATTTTGATATAATTAACAATTATTCGGCAATTAATCATAAGTCGATTGTTTGCATCCCTAATTGCCATCACAATATTAAGCATTGTTAGCACATCGCAGATTTTCCTAATATCGTGCAGCCCTAGGATGAATGGATTGATGGAAGAATGGATAGAAGGATGGATGGATATGAAGCATTAACATTTGCAGAACTAACAAAACTATTATTGCTTCAACCACACCAAAAAGCAGTCTGCTTTTAAATACGTTCATTTCAGAGCTCTAGTCTAAATCAGCCTGTGTCATATTCTTAAATTAAGCAACTTGGACTCATGTTGCAGGAGCTTGCAGTCTGTTAAAGGAAATAGTCGAGCTGTCTTCAGTGAAGGTTGACAGAACTGACAGGTGAAAAATGAGTTGGGTGATGAACCCTCTGTCACAGTCTCTCCACCCAAAATCAGTCCACCTTGCTTTCACTGACAGTAGAAATTGTTCAGTCATTTTGATTCTCTCAGTAGAGATGTGTGCATATACTCCACTTATAAGCAATGTGTGACATTTTTACATTGTCCTTTTAGTCCTCTAAGCCTCCGATATTCTGGTTCATTTTAAATTTTCTTTCTGTGAAATTTATTAGATTCTTTGTTGTTTCCTCATTTGCCTGATTATAACTTGTTAGGTTCACAGAGGCACAAGCAGTTCAAGATAGGAGGAGGCCACATTTCTCTTTCTCAGACCTTGAACTGTTACATACTTTAGTTATCCCTTGTTATCTAAATGGCTCACTAAATGAGATCTTTTAAAAAGGGGATGTGGATTACAGTTTTTGTTTGGGTTTACCGCACAGTGTGAAAAGATATCTTTAAGCTAATTGGTATTTCAAGCTTTTATTGCACGGTTATCTGTCTTCATAAATATAAACTATGTTTTTATGTCTCTTGTGCTTACAGGGCTTACTCCCTTGTTGACTCCAGCCAGGTGTCCACCTTCCTGATCTCCATCCTTCTCATCGTCTACGGCAGTTTCAGGTGAGAGTCCGTGAATAAATTTGAACTGGTCTGAGTAAAAGAATCTGTAAACTATAGAGCACACAAAGCAAAACATTTAACCTAATGTGTATTTTCTTAAATTTTAGTCAGGATTTTCTCATTCTGACATTTTTTTCTCTCGTGTTTGTATGTGTGTTTACATATGTATATGTATGTAAATGTGTATATGTGTGCATATATGTATGTATGTGTGTATTTATTTATCCATTATAGACATATATATATATATATATATATAGTTTTGTTTTGTTTTTTGTAGCTTAAACCAATGACAATGCTGAGTCATCCTCTTAAAATTAAGCTGACGTTTTGAAATTGTATAATCTGACCTGTTGGTGTCCAAATCTAAATCTCACTTGCCTTTTTCCCCTCTCCTTGTCACAGGTCATTAAACATGGATTGTGAAAATCAGGAGAAGGATAAAGATGGTAACCCTTCGACAACAGGGTCTTTTAATAACAGCAACACAAACAACAGTAAGTGTGAAATAATTAGATCAGAAAATATTTGGAAGTTGCAGACAGTATTTAGATTAATATCAACGGTGTGTTTTAAACAAGTCTTCTTATTTTGCTTGTTTAATCTTTCTAATTATTATTTTCTAAATATTTTTCAGGTATTCAAACTATAGACTCGACGCAGGCCCTGTTTTTGCCAATAGGAGCCTCTGTGTCTCTGCTAGTCATGTTCTTCTTCTTTGACTCGGTACAGGTGGTTTTCACTATCTGCACTGCAGGTAAGTACTGCTCCTGAGCTTAATATGAAAACACTCTTTATGCAGAATTATTATAGAGCCTTCACATTTCTGTTCAGTGGTTACACAGTAGGCATTCCTTGAAACCGAAGACCATTATGTGCCCCATTAAACAGACAGAAATGAGTGCAACAAGCAGTCAAGGTGTATTAGGCTGAAGGTCTTACTGCTGTGCTTCTGTTCCTCTCCTCAGTTCTTGCTACAATTGCATTTGCATTCCTGTTGTTGCCAATGTGCCAGTATCTGACCAGACCCTGCTCCCCGCAGAACAAGTAAGGAAGTCGTGTGGCTTTTTCTGTCTTAAAATATCTCCTTGCTGTTTGGTACCGCTCACAAACATTCGTAAAGCTCGGTGAGTCAGTGTATTAGCATATCCTTCTCGTCTCAGATACAATGAAGCATTTCCATTTTGGTTAAGTGTTCTCTAACTCTAAAATATAAAAACAAATCAGGGTAGAAGTAATAATAGTGGATAAACATTAGAATTCTACTTTGCTACTGGATTAGAATAGATTAAAGTTGATGGTTTTTCCTTTACTCTCATACAGAATAAAGTTAGTTTTTTTTTTATCAGAAAGATTTAGTTTCTAAGAGCTGCTAAAGCTCTGATCAGTGCCGTGTTTTTTTTTATCCCGAGGCTACAGGTTTGAGCTCATGTTGTGTTCAGAAGAGCATCCAGCTTAAAACAATTGCCAAATCTTTCACGGGAGTTCACTCGTCGTAGCAAACTCTACAGAACAAAGCATCTGAAAGCAGCAGCAGCATTCATATTTTAGCAGCACAGCTTTAAAATGATTAGGCTTATCACCTCTCAACAAGAAGGTCACAGGATAGCCTCCCAAGGTCCGTGTACTTTTTGGAGTTTTGTTTTTCATTTTAAAAACTGATGTTGAAAAATGGCTGGTTATTCTATTTTCTTTTTATACTCTAAAAACCAGAAAACAGTTTATTTTATGTTTTTCAAACCACAAGTTTAACACAGTCATTATCAAACCATTTAAGGTGGAGTTCTCAAGTTAAATAACTTTAAAATCGGGCGGCTGCCTCTGAATAAATAAGTAAACGCTAGCTAACTACTTTTGCTTTTATGTAAATAAATATTTTTTATTTATAGCTAGTCTAGCTAATTTCTTTTAAAAAGCTGTTTCTGTAGCTCCACCTTAAATGGTCTGATAATGGGATAAATAAACACATTTTACTTTCTAACTAACTAAACAGGCAACCACAACATGTGAACGTTAGCTAACTAGTTTTACATTTCTTTGTCAGCTGATAGTTTATCACTGGAGCTTCTGCTACTTTCAGCACATGAAGCTTTTCTCCAACAGGTCCACGATGAGGAACTTTAAGCTGCAGCAAGTTCCACAGGACACATTGAGTTGCCTTGACAACAGAGTTAAACTTGGAAGGAAAAATAAACGATGGACTGTTTTCCCAGTTTTGGAGTATAAAGTAAAAATAGAAAAACCGTCCGTTTTTTGTTTTTCAATATGTGTTGTTAAAATGAAAAAGAAATGACCAAAAAGGTCCATGAACTCCTGGTGTTTCGGTTTTCTTCTACAGACCAGACACCATTAAGAAATCAGGGCAGCTGATTTCCATGTACTTCACTGATTTATTTTTTATTTGCTTGTTAATTTGTTTTACCCAATGTGTGTTTTCATCAAAATAAGCTTAACAATAACTGCTTAATGCTTAATTCAAACAAACGGCTTTAAGATTAACTCTTAAGAATAATATAGAGGAGAGCAGGGTGGCACAGCTGCGCAGTGGTTAGAGCTGTCGCCTCACAGCGAGAAGGTCGCAGGATCACTTCCCGGACTGGGGGCCCTTTCTGTGTGGACACTCCGGTTTCCTCCTGTAATGGAACTAATACTTTTATGTTTAAGCCAGTAATTTATGACATACTTTAATAGACCAAAAACATGCATGTTAAGGTACAGTGGGGAAAATAAGTATTTAGTCAGTCACCAATTGTGCAAGTTCTCCCACTTAAAAAGATGAGAGAGGCCTGTAATTGACATCATAGGTAG